ACATCTTCATCCCTGAAAGAGTCTTTCAGGGATGAAGATGTTCACATCCTGGACAGAGAGGAACGATGGTTTGAGGAGTAAAGGAGGCCATCTTTGTGAAAAGAAATCGTCCATCATTAAACAGGGGTGGAGGCCTCCGGGTTCAACTGTCCCCCTCTTACAATGCTGTGATTGCTAGTATCACTCAGCCCTCTGTGAACAGTAAACAGCCATCAGTGTGCTAATGATCCATTGTTATGCTGATGGTCCTTCTTGATCATGTGATCAGTTGGTTTTGGTTGTCAGCAGCAAAACTGGTTGATCCACCCTGAGACGGTGCTATTTAAGAGACTGAGCTGAATACAGCTCCTCAGACTGAGGAAGTCTCTCGGATGAGAGACGAAACGTTTCTACATTTTTTTGTTGATTTGCTTTGTTTTTTTGGTTTTTTTTTAATGTCCAGAGGACCAGATTTAACTTTTTTAGGCTGTATAACCAAGTTTAAAGATTCTCTTCCATCGTTTTCCTCTGTCTTGCAGAGTAATACATCAGAGAACAGTGACTTAGATCATCTAGTTGATAATTTTACAAATGCTTTGCAAACTTCACTTAATAAAACTGTGTCGCTGAAAAGAAAGTAATCCAGGTCTCTCTTGTACTTGAGTCCTCTTGGCTCAATGGGACTAACCTGTTTAAATAAAGGTTGAATGAATGAAATCAATTAGAGGAGATTAGCTCCTTGGTTCAATTCTGAGTTACGTACTTTCATTAGCGGCCCGCCACAGAAAACAACTCCTTGGCGCTTACCATGAACAAGGCTGCTCGTCTCTGCTTCTCCTTGGGAAGGAAGAGCTCACCGAGACAGCAGGAGGTTGGCATGGCAGAGACCCAGGCATCCTTAGCAAAGGTTGTGCCGGTCAAAGCTGGACATATTTTCCTTCTTCGTTCTTAAGACAGTGCTAGCTAGCTGGTTTAAGAAAAAATGGAAGCCGATTGCCCGGTCTTAACGTAATTTATACGGACCGGAGGTGGGGCCACACAGCCGGTGGGCGAGGACAAAAGTTTTCAGTGCTGCGCTGCGAGCGTCGGGATAAACCCACTAGCGATAGCCTTAAAGGGCAAAGCCTATACGAAATAGAACAGAGATGTCTCCCCTTCCTCCTTCTGTGAGCGTCCTGCCAAGGCAGATGACCACGAGGAAACACTGCATGCTGTGGAGTTGTTGTAGGTAACCAGGAAAACCCGGAGTAGATTTTTAGCGGTTTGAGTATTCTCCCTTTAATCAAGTGGAATGGATTTGTTCACGAAGAAATAGAAAGAGCAATGGTTGTTTGTGTGTGTGTGTGTGTGTGTGTGTGTGTGTGGGGGGGTCCTGAATAATTTTTTTTTTTTATGTGGGGGGACACGTCCCTTTCACATATAAGTGTTGTAACGCCTATGCTGTCTCCACAACCTCCAAACTGAACAGAGAAGCAGCAGCAGGAGGCTCTCCGATTTATCCACCTCAATCATTGTTCCTTTATTTTTCAAACTCTACTTCTTGCTACAATTTATTTAGTGGTTTTCATTATTTTTTAAATTTTTGGTTATCTTTGTATGTATGTATGTATGTATGTATGCATGTATGTATGTATATATATATATATGTTTGTATGTATGTATAAGGGTGTTTAAAACCCTTCCCACACTCTTGCAATATTCTGAACAATGTTTCTAAACTCTCAACACTCTAAAAGAGCACAGTATGTCCTGATTTCAAATCCCTGCCTCCTATGCTCATTGCCACCTGTAAGCACTCTTGGCCACGCCCACTTCACCGCTCTGCATGGCGAGCAGCTGATCAGCTGCAGCAGGAAGTTTATCCTGCATTATGGGCTGCAAAAAGCTGCAGGAGTAAGCTTTTTCTGCAGCTCTGGGCTGCACAAATGTGCAGCAGGTGCTAAATAATTTAAAATCATGTTAAATACAAATTTCGTGCCGATCGTGTGGCTCATCCATCAATCAGCCAATTGTGTGTCATGTCCAGTTTTATTTTGAAAGTCTGCGATAGAGCGAGTCTGCGATAGCAAAACACAAATTAGCGAGGGACTAGTGTATTCCCAAAAACAGTGTCAGACAGACGGATGGACGTGTGACACGGTTTCTCACCTTTAGCTGCTGCTGACGGACCATGAAGACATCTGCAATACCTCTGCACATCTGTGGGTTGAGG